TACCAAGAGGAAATAGAGCGAGCGCAGGTCCTTGGTGTGGTGGAAGAGGTTCTGCAGCACGTCCTGCACAATTTTATCCTCTGAGAGGTGCTAAAAAATAAAAATAAAGTGATATTTAAATCATCTCAAATTTATACTCACCTGGAAAAATAAGAGTTAACTAATTCTTTGAAAGAGCTCAGCTTAGGGGTGACAATACAGTTCTTCAGGTCTAACCTCAACTTTCTGTGACCATTTTACCTCCAAACTTCAGTAAGCAATGATTCTCCATCATAATTTAATTTATTCCATAAACTCAAACAGTGAAAGGAAATACCAATCTTAGGTAAAAGCTTTACACTTACAAACTGGTCCTACTGTAGAATTTTTACTGAAGCCAAGTACAAAAAGCTTTAAATACCTGAATATTGTCATTCCATTTCTGTGCAAAAGGCTCATCAGGAAATTCAGCAGGAAGGGAAAGCTGCTCCTTAAATATCTTCATGTACTGTTTAAAATCAAAGGAATTCATCAAATATATCTGTCTGTGAGAGAACCTTGATTTTACTCTCTTCTCCAGGAGCTCCAGGATATCCTTGATTTAAAAAAAGGAAGAACACTCATTAAAAAAGGATATTAATTTAGTGCTTTCTTTGCTACAGTACAGACAAATTACCCGAGTAAAAGGTGCTGAAAAAAAAAGAAAGAATTATTAAATTCTCAGGCTTCACATGTTCCAACAAGAGCTCTGCTGACTGTTTGAATTGCTGTGCCTGGAAATGCCTGCCAGCCCTTTCCCCAGCCCACGTGATGCCCCACATCACACAGGATCAGCAGTTGCTAGGAAACCCTGCAACGTTCCTCCACAGATTATGGAAATGCTTCAGCTCCTTAAGCCTGGAATGCTGACATTTCATCCCAAACTCCAGGCAAGTTGTCTGTGTGGTCACACCACGGGCCTGTTGTCAGGCTGAGAGAATACAGCTTAAAAAAAAAAAACCAAAAAAACCACTTAAGAGCAAAAAACAACCCCTCAGAAACAACTATCACCATGACTGTGGGGCAGCTCTGAAGAATTCCTTAATTACACTCAAAAAGTATCACCTAAACCCAGACAAACCCCAGATTCAGCACTGATGAAATATTGATGAACCCAGTTCATTCAGAAAACAGTTTAATCTTTATAAAGTTTCCACAGTGCTGCAAATTGATTAGATACATAATCACATAACACAAATATCACAGGAAATTTAACATGGATCCTAAACCCATTTTGAACATGCCAATGTTACAGGAAAAGTGCCCTGGTGAAGTGCTGAAATCGTTGGCCTGAGGACAAGGAATCTTTTTTAAGCACTGTAGGGCTTAAAAAGGGCAAGAACAAGTCTGTTCTTGCTGACCAAGAAAGTGCAATGCCCAGGAGCTCCTCCAAAGAGTAAAATATAATATAATATAAAACAGTGTAAAAGGAAACAAGTCTCCCTAGAAATGGAAACCTGCTCCTCTAGCAGTAAAACTGAAGGCTCTGCAGGGGTTTTTTTCTGGTCATTTGATGTTTGCTCTCAGCACAAATTATTATTATTATTATTGTCATATCCTTCCCAATTCCAAAGTGAGAAAAAGTCTCTTAGGGAATAATAAAATACCATTCCAGGAGAGGAGAGAAAACATTCCAGGTAAGGCCAAAGGCACTTTTAAAAAGGAAGGAGGAGGTGCAGTTTCTTACCTGCCTGCAGGTGAGCCCAATGATGGTCACTGGGGTCTGTGCTGACTGGGAGATGTCAAAGAGGTTGTAGAGCAGGGTCTGGTTCTTGTGATGGACAAACAGGTCGAACTCGTCCAGGACAAACAGCACTGGGCAGCTGCTGGTTCGATCTCCTGCAGAGCAGGGGGAAAGTCAGCAGGTAACTCCACCACCAGAGCTCCCCCTCTACAGCTTTCACTAATTACAGCTTGAATAATTGACATATTTACATCTTTAACTCTTAACTAAGCCCTCCTTTCACGGGGCAGAAAGGAAAACACACTGAAGAACTGGGAAGGTTTTGACTTTGTTCTGCCCAGCAGCATTTCTGGCCACAGGGGAGGACACAACAACTCACACCAAAGGGTTATTTTTCTTTACCTTTCCTCAAAGCTTCCAGGAGGAATGCAAGGGTTTCAGCAAAACTGCCCTGCACGGAGAAGAAAAAGAGATTTTTGATGGGATTCTCTGAATTGTTTGAAGTTCAGGCAGGGACTGAAGGTCATCCCCTTCCAAAACCTTCTGTCACTTCAGGTTGTATAATCACAACCTCTTCAGAGCAAGAAAAATAAGGGTTAATTCTACATCCATCCACCTTTTTTTTTTTCCAGCCTGAAATCCCCAAAGTGCCTCAGACAGGCAAAAATTACTGATCAGAAAAATGTCTGCAATAGGTTAAATTTACAAGTAGCTTCATCTTCCCTTAAATAGCTGTTGCAGCCTCATTTTCCAGCTACACACGTGGAAAAAGTGCCACCTATTGTGTTCCACTGAGAGTGAGCAGGATGCAGGTTTTGTTTTAATTTGCAGCTTTATTGAAGAGATGAAAGGACAAAACACTCATGACAGAAAACAACGACTGACTGTGACCATCCTGCTGCAGTTACACACAGATTTACACACAGGCACTGCATTTCTCACCTCACACACCAGTTGGGAGATGGGAAATAAGGATAACCCAACAGCACAAGCCCTGTCAAGGGTGGCAGAAAAGCCAGTTTACTCCCTGAATGCCAGTTCCAGAAGAAAAGGGAATGTTTCTGTGGAGAGAAGGACGTTCCTGCAAATCCAGAACATTCCCTGAGTAAGGGGCAGCAAGCTCTGGTAGCTCTGATCAGTGTGGCCCAAGTTATTTCACACTCAAATAAATGAGATTTAATCTTTATGACTGAATTCAGCACCTATGTAAATGAGTTTCTCTTTGGGAAAAGGTCAACAGAAGCAAATATTTTAATAGAAATTCCATGCAAAATGAGAGCTTGAGGAAACCTGGGCAGATTTCCCTATGAAATAGAAAAGGTTGCATATATATTTACACACTAAAAATACCAATTTACCTACCCCACCCCTCTGACTAAAGTCTCTTTGGAGTGCTTCAGTTTGGTCCATTGTTGAGAGAGCCTGTCCTTTCTTCCTCCTCCTCCAAGGAGCAAGCATTCCACAAAGCCAGTTTTCCAGACAAGGGTTTTGGAGGGAATTGAGTGAAGATACTCACAAAGACTTTATCCCCAACCACGTTTTCCAGCTGCAGCTGCCTGGTGATCTCCTTCAGGGCCACTTTATCACTCGTCTGCAGGAGCCCTGAAATCAAAAGTGATGTTCCTGAAGAACTGGCAGTTTTCCTTCTCTCCCACTAGAAACTCACCCAGAAGCTTCTCTCTCCCTCCTTTTCCAGCCTTCCAAAGCTTTGCCTTTTTGAAAAAAAATTGGGCCAGACAGGAACTTTCCATATTGAACAAGTTACTTAATTTGGTCACTCAAAGCACAGAAGTTGTCTCTGAACAGAGAAACACAGAGAGAGGCATTTTGGAGCTCACAGACAAACCTGCCCAGCACTGAGGCCACACTCAGTTGCTGAAACCAAACTGTATAAATATTCAGGATATACAGGATTAGAACTGGATATAACATAACATTGGATCCATGCTGAGTTACTTGCCATTCAGGTGAACTTCCAAGAGGTTCCCTCTAACTTGTTTCATTTCCCTGAGGTCTTTTAAGACGTGATTTAATAACTGGGAAGAAAAAAAAATACAGAAGTTCATTATGAGAAGATTAATTGCCACTGGTTTATCAACTCCTTCCCCACCACCACTCCATGGTATTTTGGGGTTATCCTTCCTCTGGAGCACCTTGGGTAACAGGAAAAGGTGCCAACACTGGTTTGGAAATGCAAAACAAGTGACCAACAAAGTGCCAGGGTGACTGGTGTCAGCCTGGATATGTTTAACAGTTATCAACTTATTTCTGTTCAACTTCTTTAAAAGCCTGAAGGCCACTTGGGAAGACTTCCAGTGGAATTTTTCTAATTGTTCCATCTTGGATACCTCCTGCAGTAACAGCCAATCTATTTAGCACATTATATATTGATGCAAACATAAAAGACTTGAGTGATAATACTGAAGGATAAAACACTTCAGTTCCCTTCACATGCTTCAAATAAAAGGGAGTTCCTCTAAAATACAAACCTACAACTTATAAACCACAACCACCACCACGAAACCTCCTGGCAATTTAGGAAACAACATTCCTTGACACATTTTAAACAGGATTGAGACACCTGATCATTTTTTTATAGAGACTTTTACAGCTTTTGGATGCCTTTCCAGTCATTTTTACAGTGGGGGCCCAACAGAAAGAGCAGGTTAATTACAGAGTGATCAAAAGGTGGTTTTAATTGCAAAGACAACTGTAAGGAGCCCATTTCTCCACATTGTTGCTCCACAGAATTAGCTCACGAGAAGCCCTGGAATGTTTTGCATTTATATGTGAACCATTCCTTTAAAAAGAAGCAGGGATGAAAATGCAGCTCCCAAAGCTCCCAGGACTTCAGGGGGGTCGTGCACCTCGTGTTTAATTGGATTTGCTTCATTTGATGGACTTGTAATGGGTGTTCCTACCGTGGTCTTCCCTGATCCTCTGGGCCCAACGATGAGGGCAGAATTACTCTCTCCATGCAAGGTGGTTCTTTTCAGCAGCTCCAGCAAATGTCTGTGATGGAAACAGCAACAGGATGAAAACCTCAAAGCAGAAAACATTCACTGAAACCCGGGAAAGTTCAGAGAATAAGAGAAAACTTGCTACCTTTTCAGCTTCCTCTCAGGCCATGTGAAATGTAATACAATAAAGCACAGAGGGCTGAGTGATCAGAGCTCTTAAAATAGTTTAAAATATTAAAACACGAAGGAAGTTGAGGGTGTCACTAATTCATAAAGTTCTGCAGTTTCCCCACCACGAAAGGACAGACTTCAATAGTTATTTCTTTCTTTAAGGAAAGGATTGCTTCCTGTGGTACCACACACCAAAAAGGAAGGCTGGCTAACACATTAGAGGAAAACCAGTAAAAATAAATAACCTGGTGGAATATATTCATTTTGGCAGTCTTCACAAAACTGATCTAGTGCCTAAATTCAGGCATTGCAATCCTGTGAGTGGTAACAGCAATACTGAGCTTCATTTTTCCACTGCCACCCAAGAGAAGGGACAAAGGACAGCTTTAAATTATCTTTAGGCAGATTCCTCACCTCACACCATATTTAAAGGACTCCTAAAAACTACTGACCATGGAACAGCTGCAGGATGGGGGTTTGCTCCCTGTTCCATCTTGGGAAAGGAAAAGCAAGAGCTGGGAAGGATATAAACATAAATAAATACCTGCATGTAGGTAACACCACACTTTTTATTCAATGTTTAACTTTCTCTCTTGTAAAAGAAGCCACTGCTCACATCAGGTGACTCCACTTGCACAAAGTTACTCTTGGGAAAAAACTGATGGTTTAAAACAAGTTCTTTAGATACACAGTTGCTATTTTTCAGACTTTGCCCCACATCTGGGAGATGTTTGGGATTGGGACAGTGTTACTGTCACAGTAAGTCACTTCTTCCTAACTCTGACCTTCACACCTGGGTGACCCCAAGAAGCAGGTTTGTTTTAAATAGGGGTTTCTGCTTCAAAACCCATGAAGCTTAAATTTAAATTCTATAATCCATCCAAAGTTTAAATTTAGTTTCTACACAGTTTACTAACAAACAGGAGGAAATGTGAAGTGAAAATAAAGATTCACAGCAAGAGAATTTAACTTTTTGCTTGGCCAGGCCAGTAAACAAAGGCTCAGAACGTGCATTAAAAGTATTTTTCAGGCTCAAAAAAATAAATAAATAAATAAAGTTGTTCCAGGAATTACAGGTGTGAAACAAGGACAAGAAATCCAAAACTCAGAGCCTGACAAAACCAGCAAGGAACAGCTGCACAAAACCTCTTAAAATCTGAGGTAAAGAAATTTTAGAAGCACTGTGCTGCAGGTCATTTAAGCCAGTATAATTCTGAAAAACAGATGCAGCAGGAGATTCTGCCTTCACCTGATTTTTTTTTCTCCTGCAGTTCAACTAGAAATGACTCAGTATTTGAGGCTGCTGACTCACCTGTACTGGAATTCAATCCCAAACAGTTTGCCAGTAGCACTGGGACGGTGACAGAACCTTTCACGTAGAATCTTTTGCACCTACAAAGATAAGAATTTATCTCCTTTTACCCAGGAAGAATTTTTGGTGCTTCAAACACCACAGTGTTCCAACAGTGTAAATATAGCAACGGAATAATTGTGAAATGTGCACGTTTGTGGGGCTGCAAATATTCTGACCCAGAGGTAATTCCCCACAAGATGCAGGACAGGTTTAAGCAGCCACTTTCAGAAAACAGAAGAATAAAAGGGTTAAACAAACAAACAAACAAACTGAAAACTCATTTGGCAGCTGCTAAAAAAAGTCACCTGAGTTCTCATTTGCCCTACGAACTAGAAAATAAAGAATCTAATTAGATAAAAATAGATTTATGCAAATCTGTTGCCACAAACAGCTGCAGAAGCACAAGGACATCCCTTAACATTTTTTATCAAGAATCCAAGAAGTAGATTGTTACTGTAACACTTGAAGGAAACAATCAGGTGAGAAGCTGAAAGAAATACAAAACCCCTTTACAGCCCCAGAAATTACACCCAGTATCTGTACAAGTCTTTTTAACTGGTCTAATAAAAAAAAAAAAAACACATGGAATTATGTGGGTAGCAGAGGATGGAAGATTCCCTAACTCAAAACCAAAGGCAGGAATAAAGCTGTTCCTGACCTGTGAGATGCACTCAGCACTTGCTCCACAGGTGTCCTTCAGCTTACGTTTACTCATTGCAGATTTCATCTTGAAAGAAGGCACAAAACATAAAGGTTATACTAAATATCACTTGCCAAATAACGTTCACCAGAAACTGTACTCAGATGTTGGCTGTTTTTAAGGACTTAGAGCTGTAAAGAACATTTTTTTTCTTAGCAAATTATGATGCAGTTTGCCTTGCTAGACCCAAAACACTGAAAGCATTTTGAATTCATTTGTGCTTAATTTTAATTAATGTTTAGGGTGTTTTGGTAACAATAACCACAGCATCTCTCTGGATAAGCTGGCTCTGAAGGGGACTTGGAGGGCTCCTGAGGGGACTGGGGGGCTCTGAATGACCCCAGAGGGGCGTTTGGGGAGATCTTGAAGGGATCAGGGGGCCTTGGAGGGGTCATGAGTGGATTGGGAAGTTTGGAGTGGGCTCTG